TGCCTTCTTGAATGGACTTCTTCAGGAAGAAGTATATGTGGAACAACCTAAGGGATTTGTTGATCCAAAATTTCCCCACTATGTCTACAAACTTCACAAAGCACTCTATGGTTTGAAGCAAGCTCCTAGAGCTTGGTATGAGAGACTTACATCATATCTAGAAGAACATGGGTTCTCTCGAGGTGGTGTAGATAGGACCTTATTCATTAGACATATAGAAGAAAATTTTACCATTGCTCAGATTTATGTCGATGATATCATTTTTGGGTCTCCTCTTGAGTCTTTAGCATTTGAGTTTGCTGAGTGTCTGCAGAGAGAGTTTGAGATGAGTATGGTTGGGGAGTTAAGTTATTTCCTTGGACTTCAGGTACGACAGACAGAGGATGGACTGTTTATCTCACAGTCTAAGTATGCTAAGGATCTCGTTAAGCGATTTGGGTTAGATAGTAGCATACTAGGACACCGATGAGTACTAGCTTAAAGTTAGGTCGTGATCCTTCTGGCAAGAGTGTAGATCCTTCTCTTTATCATAGCATGATGGTTGTCTTCTCTATCTCACGGCTACTAGACCAGACATTGCCTTTAGTGTAGGAGGGTGTGCTCGTTTTCATAGCCTGGCTAAGTAAGAAACAAAACTCAATATCTTTATCCACGGCAGAGGCCGAATACATAGCTGCAGGGAGTTGCTGTACTCAGCTTCTCTGGATGAAACAAATGCTTAGTGACTATGGGATTAGTTAAGGGACTATGACTATCTTCTGTGATAATACGAGTGCGATTAATATTTCTAAGAATCCCATCCAGCATTCTCGAACAAAACATATTGATATACAACATCATTTCATTTGAGAGCTTGTTGAATCACAAGTTGTCTCCCTTGACCATGTATCTACTGAAAATCAATTGGCTGATCTACTTACAAAACCACTAGATGGGTTGAGGTTTGAGTCGCTCCGGTCGGCTGTAGGTGTTAGTTCACCTATTTGATCATGTGTTCATACACGTTCATACTTTCATCACATTGCATATGTGTGTGTGATGCATTTTGTGTGTTTGTTTCTTCTTAGTTTGCTGATTTTGCTTGTGTGTTTAAAAAAATGGGGATTTTGCTTGTGTGTGCCTTATATGCTCGATTCTGGCAATTACATTTAGAATTTTACTCTTTTATTCATCATATGTACGAGTCTGAGGTTCCATCTTTCCTCACATTGTCTATGGAGTTTTGGGTATATGGCTCGTCTTTCACCTTTGCACAGCACACACTGCAGTCCTGTTAGTGAGTCTTGACCGCATGGGTGGGACTTGGGATGGTGGTCTACTATGATTGGGGTTGTGTGTCCATTTGACTTGATCTGGGACGAGTGTCACCTAACCATAATGTCTTTCCCCACATTTATTGTATTGTGTCGAACTTTTACTATCTTCGAGGCCTATTTGACTCGAACTATTAAGCCCGAGGGGTTTTTAACCTGGTGCCCTAAGGTCATTTGACTTAGGAGTCACCGGCCCAACGTTCGTTGTGGGGGTCATTTCTGTCGCCTAATGAGGACAGCATTGCACTTAAGTTTGCTTTTTTTTTATAAAAAAAAATAAATAAAAATGAGATCATTAAGTTAGGGGGAGTAAAAATGTGACATTTGTATCATTTGATATAGGTCCTCGTGGTATTGGATTTGATTGTCCCTTGGTCAACATACACCTTTGTTTGGTTAGCTTCACCTGTCCCTTCTCACAAATTTAAGGTTTTGAGTCTAGCTTGCATGGACTACGTGGCACTTTTCACGGTGTTGGTCTGTATACACTTTACTCCACGGGTATTTGATCTCTGTGTGGACTTATGTTCTGTCTATATGCTGGGTATCGGGTTTGTGACTTTATGTTTTTGTTTGGGCTCGATTGCATATTCGGTTCCACATGTTAAAGTTTTGAAATTCAGGGCTATTTTCTTAAATTTCCTACTGTTATGCCATTTTTCGAAGAATTCAAAATCTTAGTGCTATTTTGGAAAATTGCCTTTTCGCTCGAGTCTCGTTTATACCTCGCTCGAGCGTCATTAACAGAACACTCTCGCTCGAGACTCGCTAACTTCTCGCTCGAGCGACAGTGTGGGTTTTTCAATTCCTGGTTCATTTCACGCGTTTAAGTTTTCAAATTTAGCCTCCGTTTTCTTCCGTTTCTTCTTTTGAGATGACATTTCTTCCCCAAATCTTCTAAATTGATTGTTTCGAAGCTATAGCACCCAATTTCAACATCAAAATTCCATTTTGAACGTCAGTTGAGGTAGGTTTTTCCATTTTTTTTAATTTTTATTGATTTTTCCTCATCTCTTTCCATTTTGTTTGATTCATTGCTTCTATTACATGAGTTCGTAGCCTCCAGCATGTTTAGCATCGTTGGATTGAAGTTTCTTGCACGTTGAATTCATGTATTACATAGCATTGTGTGATTTTTGCTTGATTTGTGCATGTGCTTTACTTATGTTTTGTGTGATTTTCATCCATGTTCATCGCTTTGGTTCTTCCATTCCGTAACTCCGTTTTGCGTGTAGTTTGTTTCTTTGTGAAGAGCATCTTGCCTAGTTTGTGAGTTTGTGTTTGGTTGCATGGTTACGCCACATGTTCGATGAATTGACTTAACTATTTCTGTCCTTCTTTGGCATGGTTGGTTCTTTTTCTTTTTGCATTTTTTTTCTCCATTGGAATTGTGTACATATTCTTAGTCGAGTGTCAGGGTCGTGATAACTTTGGTCTTAGGGTTGATCACATTTTTCGATGTCTCATTTTTTTGTCTCATTTGTGTGTACGGTGTGCCACGTCACATTGCATCGTTTCACGTGCATTTTTCATGTATCTCATTTCTTGCTTCTTTACGTGTGCCAGATGGCCCGTAAGCGATCACATCCCTCTTCCCAGCCAGCTGGTGGTTCTACATCATACAGTCGATCGCGATTCATTTCTGCCACTACTCAGGAGGTTTTCACTTCCCAGTTCTCCTTACGTCCCGTTCTCATGGAGCGTGAGGTAATTTTGTCTGACCTTCCCGTAGAGATAGCTGCCATCTTAGTGTCTCGGGGTTGGGAGCCTTTGCTTGTTGGTCTATCACCTCAACCCCTCTTCTAGTTCAGGAGTTCTATGCGAACATCCACGATATTGACGGGTCGTCTTTTAGGGTTTTTCTGCGGGGTCATACGTTTAGAGTTACACCTTCTGCTGTAGCTCGTGCTTTAGGTATTCTGGAGATTACCCATCCTACGTACCCCTATATTTTACCTTCTTCTGTTCCGGCCGACTCCCTTGTTCGGTCGACGATTTTGAACACCCCGTCTGTCGGGGGGCCTACGGCGATGGCCACGGGTTCTTTACCCACTGATCGCCAGGTTTTGTTGTGCATTGTGTGCACGAACCTATGGCCCGTAGCCCATACTTCTTCTTTACCCATGGGGCGGGCCCGTTTTCTATATGTCCTACTTCGCGGGGACTCGATTGACCTTCCTAGTTTTGTTTGCCAGCAGATTCTGGCTTCGTTTTATACTCCAGGGAGTCGGATCGGGTTACCATATGCTTGTTTGATCCATAGGGTAGCTTTATCTTTAGGTGCTTCATTTCCAGAGAGTTCGACTCGACGCATTGGACGTCCGATTGGACAACAGACTATACATCAGAGTCGTTCTCATATTCCTGCTTCTTCTTCTTCTGCTCATGCTCCAGCTGCGGCTGCTGTTTTTGATGTTGTTGATTCATCCGAGCCCTTTGATCCTATTTTTGATATTCTTACTGGGGTTCTCGGGTCTTTCTTCCTTCTCGGTCCGCTCCTCCTCTAGCTATTCTGCTCAACTCCTCCGGTCCTTCTACTTCTACATCAGTGCCTGGGGTGGCTACATTGCCCATTGACCCCTTGGTGCCGCTTATGGGTCCGATGACTACATTGATCGAGCAGCAGGCTCGTATCTTAGCTGAGATCATGCAGTTACGTACTGCTTCGGAGCGTCAGTCCGCCGAGATGACTACGTTTCGCCGTGCTCTTGCTGTCTGTCAGCGTCAGTTGCGCTGGATTCGAGATCATTTGGAGGCGAGCACGAGTGCTAAGAGTGGCTCTGATTCGTCCGATGCTGCAGATGCTGCTTCTTAGCTTGTTTTGTTGGTTTCTGTATCTTTGGCCCTTTCTGACAAAAAGGGGGAGTAGATAGATTAATTTGACTGGAGTAGATTGAGTAGATATTAGAGCAGATAATTGTTTTTGATAACTGTGATATAAAATTGATGTATATATGTCATTTTATAACTAGATTAAGTTTTTGATGTTTTGGCAATCTTAATGTCTGTTTTTGGTGTTTCAGACATACATTATTATTGCTTCTTAATCTGGTTAATGATATATGATTTATATCTTGTCTCTGTTTACTGTTTCCATTTCACATGCGTTTTCACGTGGTATTTGAGCTTTGTTTTTCAGGAAACAGGTTCAACAAGATATTGCCAATGTAATAGAATAGATTG